ATCCGTACTATGTGTGCACTACTTTGCTTTTTGCACTACTTTGTCATAATTTGCAACTGCTGCAACACTGCATTGCTGCCAACGCCACCCCAGCAACTACAGCTCCTCCTCTCCGTTAGTGGTCCTTCCTTGGCACAACTGCTGTTCTTATTAACTGCTCAGCCATTTGGAGTTTTCCAAGAGGAGTTTTCCCGAGCAGTTAATAGACAGAAATAGAGTGTGCAGGCCAGGGCAGAGCAAGACAAGGACTGCTGCAACGACAACACTTGACTGCATATCCTTTCTCCTCATTGCTGTTGTTGCTTGGGCCTCTTCTGTGTACCCTATGTCCGTATCCGTGTCCGTGTCCGTACCAGTGTCCGTGTCCTGTGTGTCCCTTTGACTATGTCGCTGCATAATTTATGACTGCTTTGGCATTCAAGCTGTTTTTTGTGTTAGTCAACAAAAGGAGCTCCTCCATGGCACCAGCAGGAGCAGAACGGAGCAGAACGGAGCAGAACAGAACAGGAAGTGGTCTTAAATCAGCCTGCGAATCGATTGATATCGTGACGAAGGGGTTAGAGTCCAGTTAAAATCTGATTGAAAGCTTTAAGGAGAACGCCCCAAGGACTCTAGGAGGAAACTCAATTATTGAACAATTTAATTTACTCGCCAAATGCAGGGCTTCTCCGAACTTCCTGTTGCTCTGGAAACGTCCTGATTAACATGTCCTTTATGCCACATTTATGCACCACACGGCACACACACACAACCATCCGAACATCTCCCACCTCGCACACCCATCGCCCCATAAGCAGCTAATACATTTTGGCCAAAATGTGCCGCATATGGAAAGGACCCCCCGCGCTGTAGGGCATACGAAGGACACGCATGTAGCTTGGTTCAGCCTGTTTCCGGTTTCCTGTTGTTCCTGTTGTTATTTCTGTTTGTAATTAGTGAAATTACTGAAACCAAAACCCCTCAAAAACGAAGCTCCCAAACTCTTGCCCAAAGCGCAACTCAGCTCCAACGAACCGTACACTGAAAAGGAGCCACCCAACTCTTGCCTTAAATTTATGATTCAACGCAGCACCAAGTCTATGGCAAATTATGATTAAAGCTGTCTGCTGTCAATAAAATGCATCATTAATTTTGAGCAGGGAAAAGGCGAAGGAAAGTTGGTTAAATTTATGATGAGAGGACGTACTTTTAGTGGTTGTAAACTAAAGAAATATTTTAATTAAACCCAAAGTGTACTTCACTGGTAGAATATAATAATATTTTAATGAATTTTAAGGCATTAGTATTCTGACTTAGTTGTTTTATTGTATATTTTTCTTTGCTTCCCAGATTAATTTTCTATACTATATAAATTATTTTATTTACTTTACAATGTTTGCTAGAGTTTTGTAGTTTTTCCCATATTTATTTATTGTTTTTTTCAAATATTTTTTTACCTCTTTCATCACCTATTAACACCCGTCATTTTGTTTCTTCACACTTTAAAACAATCGCAAACCCTTGCCGTAAGCCATCATACCCTTCAATCTGTCGCTTTTTCTTACATTTTGACTGGCGCCAAAAACCGCACGCGTCAGTCAACAAGTTTTTGCTTTCGCTTTGCCTTTCCGCTTTTCCTTTATCGACTTTTATGGGAAACTTTTGCATTCAGTCAAGGATGTAATTTCCTCATAGTATCGTTAAATATTGGACATTAAATGTGTCGGGGGAGTGCGGGTAGCCATAAAACCCAATGGGCCTTTTTGGAAAATTACAGCTGTTGCACGACGACCTCAACGGCGGCTACGCTTGTGGATAATATTTATTTTGTTGATTATAGATGTCAACATTTATGACAGGCAACAAAAGTTAATTAGCCATAGAGAAATTGTCAAATTTTTGGAGTCTAACCATGAAAGTTTGGGAGAATTTAGAGAGTGGGAGTGGAGTTTGCTCTTTCTTTCTCGTCTATTTCGGTATCTATTGGATTAAACTGCATTCTAATTAGTTATCCTAAGCGTCTAAACCATGATGATGAATGCTAAAGCACTTAAGTTGCACAAATGAACAGAAACAGAGCCATGGAGTAGCCTAGGAGACGGCGAAAGGAGGCCTCTACCCCTAAGCTGGGAGCTTAGCGAAGGAAAGTTTGTCTATGGCAAACTTTTGAATATATATTTTATTTATAGCCAGGGGGGATACGTTTTGGGGAGATTTAGGACAGGCCTTTCGGTGGGAAATCTCCGTTAAAATGAGGAAAAAAAAGATAAAAAGAAAATAAGTTGTTTGGAAAGCTAAATTTGGTGAAGAATAAATTATTTTAAAAGCCGTTAATCACGCCATTTGTTAATGAATTTTAGTTCATTTATACAATAACATTAAACCATGTCTTAGAACAGCTAAGGAATGCTTTTTCGTATAATTTTAGGTGCCAATACTTTCAGTTTCTTCATGCGATAGTCAATGCCCGTCTGAGCATCGCTTAGTCTTTTCCCCCACCCCTATAACTGCTTCTAATTGCTTGGCATTGACTGTAAAAGTATTCCAAATGGCTTCTTCTGTGTACATCAGAGATGTTTCTTGTGTGTGTGTGCCTTTGGGCCATTTGTTGCGATTCTGGCGTTTTTTGGCTTATAAATTTAGTCAAAGCACGTACCGTAAACTTGGCAATAAATCCGTAAGCCCAACCGTCCATGAACCGTCCCCGCCTCCCCACCCAGCCCGTTTGAACATGTACCCCTGCTGTATGTCCTTTGGCCTGCACACGCATCCATCCCTCCTGCTGTGGCGGAACACGTGGCGTATTAACAATATCGACATGAGTAAACAAATGCCCAAGGGGGCATGCATCAGCAGCAGAGTGTGGCAAGGAGGCAGCAGGATGATGATTGCTCAAAGTAATTTACACTTTTACCAACTTTCAACTTTACGAAAAACTTTTGCTCTTTCCTCTTTCCAGAAGTCTACCCAGAACAAAAAAAACTCGACAGAAACGACAACAGAAATTAACACAAATGTTTCATAAACTGGCATATCTTGATGAACAGGAAAAGGGAAAGGGAAACAGGCGCAGGAAAAGCCGTACCCACCCCCAGGACACGTGTTAAGTAGCTCCTTATCCCCTTCGTGTGACATTGTGATTATCATCGGCTGGGAACATGCCGAACCTCCATCACGTCGACTACAATCGGAAGTACTCCGCCACGGAAACCATTCAGGTAAAAGTTGCACTCTTATTTATTTAAATGCATTTTCCGGGGGCTTATTACAAGTATTTTTTTAGCATTTCCTTTTCATTTCTTCAACCTTCAAGTGAACGCGTATGCCAGTCATCAAGTTACAACGTTTTCCCGTTCTTTAAAAGTACAACTTAAGTCGCGCGATAATTAAAAATAAAACGAAACAAATTTACGAGTACAAGCACACTGGCACGCGACCAAAGTTGTGGGCGTTCCCTCCACCTATTATCTATTCTAAGTATATCTATTTTTCACACCCCCAAAACCAAGGCCAAGTCCAAGGGGCAAGAGCAGGAACCAAGAGCCGATACCCTTGGACCCATGGCTGATTGGAAGACCACCGACCTTTCGTTTGACTCCTTGCCCCCTTGGACTTGATTGATGTGCACGAAGTATTCGTCCTGCCCGTTTTTTTTGAGCAGAGCTCAACGCGAATTAATTGAAGAGTTTTTTTTGGGGTAGGAACTGGAAGCACACTTCGAGTCCAACCCCCCAAAGACACGCCTACTGTCCCGCTAATTGCTGTCATAAATTTTGTAACTCAAGTTGGTAGCCAACAAACACACAAAAAAAAAACACATTCTTTCAGCAAATTGTTGTGCTTCTTAGATGAGGAAGTCTGGGGAATAATGGGATAAAGGGAGCATGTTGGTTAAAGTGAAAGGGTTGATGTCCAAGGACAAAAATTATATATATGCAGTTTTATTTATTATTTGAAAGCATTTTTGAGCCAATACAACCGATAAAAAATATGTTTTACATTCTAATTACTATACGTGACAGTTTCTCTATAAGAGATCATATAATTATCCACCAAGAAAAAGAAAGTGCATCTCATATTCGAAATATCTCTCTACTGACGTCCTTCTCTCATTTTTGTTGTTGTTGGTTAGCTTGTTGTCTCAGCTTTGGCTGTTCCCGCGTTCGCCAACTGTCACTTCCCCTCCCCTTTTTCCTGGCTTTTCTCTTCACCGAAAAAAGTTAAGCACAAAAACCAGCGTCGGGGAAAAGTCTGTCTGTACAATCGCCAGCTGACTGGCTGCTGTTGCTTTTTATTTCATTGTGTTTTTTGTTTCAACCAAAACGTTGCTACCGCATTCGGAAGAGCGATGGCTAGAAAAGAGAGAAAGAGCAGGGTCTCTCTCTCTTTCGCTCTGTGAAACTTGATTAAGTAGTTTCCGCGTGTTTTTATTTGCACAATAAAAGCATAAAAGCAGTCCTGCAATGCCGTATTAAAGTTTGGCGGAGGGGAAGCAGGGAAAAAAGTGCTCTCGAGTGCTAAATATGTTAGGGAATTCCTTGTACTATGTGCCCCTCAGAATCCTCCTACATGACTGCTCCTCTGATTCCATCCTGCCAGACATGGTGGCGTTTTTTTTGCTATTTAAGCTGGTATTTTTATGGCTTTGCTGTGTGGAATGATAACGTTATGACTCCATTGGTGACAACTCGTGGACGTGTTAGAGTTAACAGATCTTTCCCTCTCTCTCTCTCCCTCTCTGGTTTACATGAGGAATTTTGAGGAATTCAATTGGTAACTTTGATGCAGGGAATCCTTTTAGATGGGGATATGCCACTTATTTTTTCATAAAGATTATTTTTAAAGCCTTTTTAAACTGCTCAAACGGCTTCGTTTTTTATTCAAAGTTTTTGAATCTTCCAGAAAGTTCCTTAAAAACATATAACTGCCTACTCTTGCGTAAGCTTAATCCTTGTCACATGTGATTCCCAAGCAGTTCTGAATCGTCGAGTAAAAGCACAGCTGTTTCGGAGCTTTCGTTATCACTCGGCGTTCTCTTCAATTGTGTCGAATAAATCTTTCGCCTTTTACTAAAGATTTCCGTGGAGGGGAACAATTTAATGAGTTTTCATTCATTTTTAGACAAGCGCCTGGGGGTTTACCACTACCGGGCCAAAAATAAATAAATACCACAACCGAAATGGGAAAGTTTTTGAAGAAATTTTGGTGGAACAATTACTGATAGGCGAGAAGAGAGTCTTTAGGTTACTTTCATCTTCTAATCATCTTCTTGTCCACACTTTCCTTTATAGCCTCAACATTTTTGCATTTTCCTACCTTTGAGGAATTCTCCTCGAACATTCACACATCAAATCACAAAGACTACTTGAAAAAGAAGCCTAATTGATGTTTTCCCTCTTCACAGTTCGAAAAGGGCTTTATTCGTAAATGTTTTCTATAGAAATCTGTGGCATAAACCGCGCTCGGGCCACATGCTGCTGCTAATGCTGCCGCACTACTTATAGACCCGCAGACGCTTTGCTCCATTAAACATGATTACAGAAAATGCCATTCCTTTGGCACAAGGACTCCCTACCGCCAGAGTAGGGAGTGCCACAGCCTTCCGCCCACAAAAGTAATTTCACTTTTCACCGCATGTGCTGCCCTTTTTTCCCCGTTTTTTTTTTGTGTGTGCTTTTCTTTTTTTTTTTTGCAAAACAAACAAACATAAATATGGATTTCTCATTAAAATGCCAGAGTTATGCTATGCGAAATGAGGCTGCTACCGGCACGTATAAATGTTCTGCCAGGACTTTCCCGGAAGAGGACTCTCGCGCACGCGTTGTGGCTTTGTTGTCGGCCTCGCGCCAATGTCAATGTCGTTCTCATTTTTGAATGAAACCCTCTCTCTGTCTCTCTCTGGGAGTTGCTCTCTCTTTTGGACGAAAAGTCACGTGCTGCCATTGAAGGAATTTCATAGCCGGCTTTTTGAGTGGAAGAAGCAGAAGAGTAGAATTTAAAAAAAGTGGTGGAATGAGAGAGAAAACGGGAGAAGGAATGAGAAGTAGAAAGAGTGCCGCTAGGAGCGGCGGAAAGCTGAGAGAATTCCGTGTTGGAAGGGAGGTAGGACAATGTGACGCATTTGTCATGAAACGGATTTCCGGTATTGTCGTCGCTGTCTCCACATAGCCACCCCACTTCACCTCCTCCTTAAAGGACACTCTTGACTTTCTCCTCCGCTTGTGAACGTGAAAACTTGTTCAATTTTGTATGACAACGGGGCAACGGAAAGCAAAGAAATAGGAGAGTGGAAAAAGTCTAAAAGAAAGCTAAAAAATTAAAGCTAGGACCAAACGAAGATTTAAATACCCTGGAACTACCCTAATTAGTGGATTGTTCCATGTAAAAGAAATATATCGTTTTTTGATAACAGAATACTCAAACATTTGTTTTACAAGCTTGCTTTTGCTTTAATAAACATATTAATTACAACCATTTCCAAACCAAACCTACCAATCAAAATACCCTCTAAAGTAGAGTAAGGGTCTATAAAAAAAAAGCCAACTCAAGGCAAAAGAAGAAAGCTTGTCGTGCCCTGCCGCAAAAGTGGCTATTTAGCATTTTAGAGTAGGCAAAGAAACATGACCTCAAGGCAGCCGGGAAGGGACCTACGGCTGAACCCTGAACCCCACTCTACTTCACTTCACTGCCTTCTCCACTTCACTGGCCCTCTCCAACCCACAGCGGTCTTGTAGACCTCTGAATTTTTCATTAATTTCATTTGGAATGGCGAGAAGGCAACCCGACGGCAAAAGACGACAACAAATGGAAATGTTGAGCAGCAGCAACAGAATTGACAATTATTAAGGATAATGAGGCTGCTTGAATATGGGCGACAACTGAGGGTTAAATGCGGTTAAAGTGGGGGTTAGAGCTGTGCAAATATTACGGAATTATGATAATGGGTTAGTGGGTGCCCTAACGTAGGCGTCTTTAAAGGATAATAGAAAATCAATTTAAACAAGCAAATCTGAGACATTTTTCACAGCCAGGGACGAGGCTCTAGCTTTAATAACGTTTTTAACCACCCTGCCGTAGATCCTTAAACAGCCAGGAACAAACCCTACCCTAAGCCCAGGTAGAATTCCTTTGCCACAGGCTGCAGCCAAGAGACTGCAATCATTTTTCGTCGCCTTGCTGTCGCTGTACTTTTTTCGATGTCCCTAGAATTCCCAACTGGTTATAGCCCCCGCAACCTTGAATGCCAAACCAGTGGCCGTTTTGAGTTATCTTTGCGCAGAGGCATTATCGTAACCAATGAAGTTCTACTGAGGTGCGATTATTGCTAGTTGAAAACTTTAACCAATACCCCGCCATGAGGACGTGAAATACCGTCCGCTACGGCAATTTTTGCAAGCCCGTGAGGGCCATTTAATAATACATTTCAAACACTCATAGAAAGTTTATGTCAACTATTAAGATTATCTCTATAATGAGTAATAAAAGGTTTTTGATGATGAGTCTTTACAGATTTTAAGGGACAAAATGATGTGCCTAATGGGACTTTTAGGAGAGAATTAGGGTAGTGGCAGTAATGTGTTTTCTTGAAACATTAAATTCCATGTCATTTGGGAACCCAAAAACAACAGCCATCAATGCTGAAAAGGGTTAGGGATCAGGTTTTGGTCATTAGACAAATTAAACTTAATGCTAAACTTCCATTTAACGACTGGCATAGCAAGCAGCAGAAGAGAGACAGAGTTCCATCCTGAACAGCATACCAAATTTTTGTTTTTGGAGGAGGGGGGAATGTGTGTTCCGTTCCCCAAACGACTGAGAAAATTACAGCCGCAATTTATGTTTATGTGGCTGGAAAGTTTTCAGGTTTTAGCTTTCGTTTTTTTATAGTTCGAAGAGGCAGAAAGAAAAACCGAGCATTGAACTTGTATGCAAAATTTACCGTCTTGTTAGTTTTCTTGCCTTTTCGGGATGCCATTTATTTCGATGGCAAACTCGCCTAGAAAAAAAGGTAAAATTTAGATTTCCTCATGCGTAGCGTTTCGTTCGGGCGGTCAACCGATGTTTGGTGCCTTTTTTTATGAACTCTAGGGGAAGCCTAACCCCAAAACATATTTCATTTTTTATCCTTCAGGTTCAGCTTGAGCTTCCATTTTTTGTCACTGATTTCTGGGATTGCAAAGAGGTTTTTTCCGGGGCCTAATTTATGCTTTATTTATGCAAAACAGTTCTCTATATTGATGAAGACCCGATGCTGCTGTCTGCTGGTGGATGGAAGTCAGGAAAAAGATAAAAATAATTCAATTAAATTTTGACTGCCTTTCACTTTCCAATTTATACAGGGATTGGCTTTGGGAATTCCAAGAACTGTCTTGAGGCATCGGATTACTGTGAGATAGATGGTTTATAAAGGCCCTGCCAATACCCTTGCTTCTTGCGTGCTTTATAATTCCCAAACAGTTATTTTTAGTCTTTACTAAACAACCACTGGAGATCGTGTTTAACTTAACTCTGGTTTTTCTTCAATTGTCGAATAAATCTTTCGCCTTTTACTAAAGATTTCCGTGGAGAAGGACACTCTAATGAGTCAAAAATAATTTTTTCCAAGTGCCTGGTGATGTTTTACGAGCCGGGCCATTAACTGATTAATGGCCAGTTGGTCTACAAATACTTCAAGTGCCGCCCGTTACTTGCTTAGAAGCAATATGCTCATTTGCTGCTACCTCTTCAAGGAGATATACATAACTATGAAAAGCATATAGAGGTAGATATATTACTGATTCATCACGTTCGTAATATATTCGTCACATTTAACTTCACTCAATTTATCATTAAGCTGTAGAGCTGTAGATATTTATAACTATCAATGTAATGAGCGAACGTCTTCACGTTCGCCTACAAATTAATTAGGAGTTTTGCTTAGGAAGAGAGAGCCAAAGATCGTCAAATGTAGAAATAATTCCATAAAATAAAATCTACAATAAAAGTCTCGTTAATAGAATGCCCACTGTATCCCCGTCGCCAAAAATGCACAACTGCTTTGCAATTCTCAACTGGTTCTAGCCGCACGGTCATCAGGTGGTGGTTGTTTTCCACGTTTAGGTTATCGCTTCTCGGCCTTATGGCTAAGATCAAAGTGTAGTATCTGTTCTTATCAGCTTAACATCTGATAGTTTCTCCATTGGAGAACAACAAATGTTAAACTGATTTTTGGAATCAGACGGAGTGCTAGGGGCTTGCTCCACCTCTGTCGCGGGTTGGCCCGGTATTGCAGTACCGCCGGGATTTTCAGCCCAACTTAAATGATCAATTCTCAAACACACGGAAAGTAAGTCGTTTATTCTTTGTTGTTTTTATTGAATTTTTCGATTCGCAAATCAAAGTTCGCCTCTCAGACAATTGGATGTCATGTCGTTGCCATGAAACAATTATATAAGGAGGGCCCGTCGTCGGCAGCTTTCATCGTATCATTTCCCTTTGAGTTCAGTGCTTGTTTGCTTGTCGACGCGGAAGGACCCTTCCCTACACACGCACAGTACGATATATTATTTTTTGCAGCAAGAAAGTTGCAATTTATTTTAAGTAAGAGCCTCAGAACAGAGGTATATATTCAAAAACAATAGTAACGACCACTTCAAGTAGTAAAGTATTAAAAGTCAAAATATAAAAGAAAACTTCAACTCCTTTTCTTGCAATGGTCAATTTTTAACCCCATGCCATCAAAGGGTTAATCAGCACACTCCCTAGTCGTTTCACTCACACTTACAGCGCAGAGCCCTTATATAATTGATTCATGGTCGTTGAACCTCGTACCCACAGCTCTGAAGCACGACGCATTGTCCAAAGTTCCCGTAGTCATGATGGGGATTGACTTTCTGCAAGTCACCATCGGTTCCTATGACACCCGTAGTGGAAGAATTCGATTTTCCTACCATTTCTTGACCGTTCAGATATATCCAATACTTTGCGAACTGATTCAGGATACTGCGGAATGCCTTTACCTCATCTTCGCTTTGCAGACTCGCCAAATGGGCACCCACTCCACGGCATTCCTTCAAGGCATCGTGCCAGGTGTTTTTAAAATTATGTATGTATTATTTAATAGTATTTGCGACCAATTATTTGGAAGGTCTCGAATATTTT